ACCTATCTATACAATGATTGCCTGGACTAGTCCTGAGGCATTTCCCTAGTGTTTGCTTTAAGTAGTTTTATATTTTTGAGTCTTACATTTAAGTCTTTAATCCATTTAAGTTTATTTTTATATATGGTGAGAGATAGATATCTAGTTTCATTTTCTGCATGTGGAAGTCCAGTTTTCCCAGCACCATTGATTGAAAAGATGCAAAAAAGATACATTGAGGAAAAGAATGTATGTTTTTGGCATTTTTGCCAAAAATCAGCTGGCTGCAAATACATAGGTTTATTTCTGGTTCTCTATTCTGTCATATTGGTTTTTTTTAATGTACTTCTATGACAAAACCATGCTGCTTTAGTTACTGTATCTTTTTAGTATATTTTGAAGTCAGTCAGTGCAATGCCTTCAGCTTTTTTTTTTTTTTTCTGTTTTTTCCCTAAAATTTCTTCAGCTCTTTAGGATCTTTTATGCTCCCATATACATTTTAGAATTTGTTTTTTCTATTTCTGTGAAGACTGTAATTGGCATTTTGATAAGGAAGGTATGGAATCTGTAGATTGCTTTGGGTGATATGGTGATTTTAACGATATTAATTATTTGAATCCAAGAGCATAGCATGTTTTTCCATTTATTTGTTTCCTCTTAAAGGTTTTCATCAGGGTTTTATAGTTTTTATTATAGAGATTTTTCATCTCCTTGGTTAAATTTAGTACTGGATATTATATTTATTTATTGTTGCAGTTATTGTAAATGAGATTGCTTTCTTGATTTTTTCAGTACATTTATGACTATTGTATAGAAATGCTACTGATTTTTGTATGCTGATTTTATTTCCTGCAACTTTTCTGAATTTATTAATTCTAAGAGTTTTTTGGTAGAGTCTTTATGTTATTCTGTATATAAGCTCATGTCATCTTCAATTAGGGAGAATTTTACTTCCTCCTTTCCAATTTGAATTACTTTCTCTTTCTTTCTCTTAATTGTTCTTGCTAGGACAGTTCTATAATAAATAAGAGTGTTAAAAGTAAGCATCTCTGTATTATTTCAGTTATTAGAGGAAAAAACTTTCAGCTTTTCCCCATTCGATATGATGTTGGCTGTGTGGTTGTCATATATGCCCTTTACTGTGCTGAGGTACATTAATTCCATAACTATTTTTTAGAAATTCTGTATAATAAAAAGATGTTAATTGTTATCAATGATTTTTTTTGCATCTGTTGAGATAATTATATTTTTGTCCTTCATTCTGTTGATGTGATGTATCACAGTTTTGTATTTGTCTATTTTGAACCATCTTGGCATCTAGGGGATAAATCCCACTTGATCATGGTATATGATGTTTTTGCTGTACTGGTGGATTTGGTTTGCTAGCATTTTATTGATAATTTTTGTGTCAATGTTCATCAGAGATTTTTGCCTGTATTTTTCTTGTTGTGTCCTAGTCTGGTTTGGGTATGAGGGTAACACTGGCCTCATAGAATAAGTTTGGAAGTATTCCTTCCCTTTCTATTTTATTATTCTGGAATAGTTAAGAATTGGTGGTAGTTCTTCTCTCACAGGGTGGTACAATTCACCAGTGAAGCCATTGTTCCTGGTCTTTTCTATGTGGGGAGATTTTTTATTACTGGTTCTATTTGTTACTCATTATTAGTCTGTTCAGATTTCCTATTTCTTCACTGTTCAACCTTGGTAGTTTGTATATGTCCAAGAATGTATTTATTTCTTCCAGGTTTTCCAATTTGTTGGCATATGGTGGCCTATGACAGTCTGTAATGGTCCTTTGTATTCTTGTGGTATCAGTTATAATGTCTTCTTTTGGTTTCTGGTTTTATTTATTTGGGTGTTCTTTCTCTTATTCTAGTTAAAGGTTGGTCAATTTTGTTCCTCTTTTCAAAATCTTAATTTCATTGATGTTTTATATTATTTTGTCTCCATATTGTTTATTTCTGTTCTGATCTTTATTATTTCTTTTGTACTAGTAGCTTTGGGCTTGATTTGTTCTTGCTTTTCTAGTTCCTTTAGATGTATCACTAGATTTTTTATTTGAAATCTTTCTACTTTTTAAATACAGGCACTTATTGCTATAAACCTCTCTCTTAGTACTCCGTTTTCTGTATCTCTTAGGTTTGGGAATATTTTGTTTCTGTTTTCATTTCCTTCAAGAAAATGTGTAATTTCTTTCTTAATTGGTTTATTTGGTAACTCAGAAACCTGTTGTTTAATTTCCACATTTGTGTAATTTTTTACATTCATCTTATTGATTTCTAATTTTATTCTATTGTGGTCAGAAAAGATACTTGATAGTATTTCAGTTTTTATAAACTTGTTGAGACTTGTTTTGTGGCCTAATATGTGGCGTATCCTGGAGAATGTTCCATGTCTATGAGAAGAATGTGTATTCTGAAGCTGCTGAATGAAATGTTTTGTAACTATTAGTTAGGTTCATTTGGTCTACAGTGCTATTTAAATCCAGTATTACTTTGTTGATTTACTCTAGATAAGCAATCTAATGCTGAGAGTAGGATGTTGAAGTCCCCAACTTCTATTGTATTGGGGTCTATCTTTCCCTTTAGATTTAATATTTGCTTTATCTATCTGGTTGTCACAGTGTTGAGTGCAGATATATTTCTAATTGTTCCATCTTCTTGCTGAGTTGATTCATTTATCATTATATCAATGTCTCTTCAAAGTTTCTGACTTGAAGTCTATTTTACCTGATACAGGTATAGCTATTCCTGCTCATTTTTGGCTTGCATTTGCATGGAATGTCTTTTTCCATTCCTTCACTTTCAGTCTATTTGTGTCTTTACAGTAAAATGAGTTTATTGTAAACAATACATAGCTGGGTCTTTTTTTTTTAAGTAGTCTTGTTGTGTCTCTACAGTCTATAGTTAGGGCTTAATTTACATAGTGAATTATCTGCATGCTATTTCTTATATACCACATTACTCATTTCTGTTTCAGCTCAGACAACAAACTTATTTCCTAATGACTTCTGTAATTATCTCTCATTTTTAGAATATATTCTAGTCCAACAGTAATGTTCCCATGGAACAGCTGGAAGGAATTTTAAACAGTTTATAAAGACCTTATTTTCTTAGAAAAACCAAATGTCATTCTCACAAATTTAAGAAAATACTTTGTCCTTAGAACACAAAAGCAACCTTCAAAAATAAAATGCCAAACTTTTAATACTTAAGTCTTTCTTAAAAATTGAAAATATGACAGAGAATCAATTTTTCTAATCTAATTCTCACCTGTGATTGGTACATTTAAGTAGATTTCTGAAAATGAATTAGAAAGAAATAATGAGTTCATAATGTAACTTCTAACTTTGAGTTTTTATTTACCTTAATTATCTGACATTTCAATATTTTTTCTCCCACAGGAGGAAAAAAAATCTAGTTCTTAATAACAACGTAATTACTCATTTGCTTTATACCTTTATGTGTGTATATATATAAAACAGCTTCAAAATTAAAATATCAATAGTAACATCAAGAATATCGTTACTAAAAACAGTTTAATAATTTTTGGCAAGTTTTTCTTGATTAATTCTTAAAGCACATCTCATTGAGATGTTTATTAAATTACTGTGTTTTAAAGCTATATTAAACAGTTCCCTCTTGGAGTCTCTATCTCCAATTCAATACACTATTCTTCATTTTATTTTTTTGTTAATTTTCAAAATGGTTCTTAAAATTTTTTTTAATCATTTATAATATTTTTACTTTACAAAGTAAATTTGCAAAGTAAATTCACAGATGTCTAGTTTCTAACCCTGTAGCATTTAACCTATTGCCTTTCACCCGCTAAAGGCAACCATTATAACTATTTCTTATTCTTAGGTTTATCCTTACATCATTTTTATACATTTCCCTTCACTTTACTTTCTTCAGTTAAAAATACATTCTGAAATAACTCCATTCTAGTGTTTCTAGAGTCATAATTTCTTTTTACAACTTCATAATTCTCCAGTGGATGTAGCAGTTTTTCAACCACTCCCTTATTGATGGGCATTTAGATTGTTACAATCTTTAGAAATAAACCTCCATGAATAGTATTTAAATATGTCACTTCGTGTTATGCAGTGTGTCTCTGAGAGAGATTCCAAAAAGCCAAGTGTCAATGAATACATAACTTTTGGCTTAAAATTTCCTTCCTAGGAGTTTATCATTTCGCATTACCACGAACAATGTGGTAGTGTTTTATCCTATAGTCTAGCTATCAGAGTACCTTACCAAATTTTTGAATTATTTTTGGCCAATCTGTTATGTGAGAGATGGCATATAAGTATGTTTTCATTTGGATTTCACTTTTTCTGAATGATTGTTGACTTCTTTGTCAAACAGTGCTGCTTTTTTAAAATTAGAATACTTAAAAAGTATTTTATAAAAGGTGCAAAGAATAATTTAAGATATATTTTTGGTTACATATTGGAAGTTTAACAGATTATTTTAATTTTGAATTAGTATGTTAAATTATAATTTTTAGGAAAACAAAATAGACATAATTCTGAAAATAATTTCTAAAGTTAAATATTTTAATTTTATTCAAATGTCATAGAAACTGTGCAAAAGAAATAATCCTCACCTTCATAAACAAACATTTATTGCAATTATAAAGCTTATAATATAAACTTCATAAAGTCTTAAAATGTCTAGAGGAAAGGACGAAGCCAATAAATGATCTTGTAATTGCAGAGTTTGTACTTTCCTACAGTAGATTAATATTTGATAAAACACACAAGCCAAGTATATTATATTTCATGTTGTAGTTCAAGACCAAAACCATTTTAAAGAAAAATATCCTCCCCTAATAATGCCAAAGGTGTTGAGTTCCGGCCCTTATTTTGGGTGAATAGAGCATATCTTATTAATCTGCCTTCAACAAATGGTGTCCTCTTCAATAAGAATTTTATTTTCCTTGGAAGAGAAAATATTAAAGAAAGGATAATGGAAAATGATTCCTGCCAATTAACTCTTAGTTATTTTCTTTACTTTCAGCACCTTCCCTGATAGGTGTGGTAAGGAAGGACTGGGCATCCCAAAATAGCATTGCCCTCTCATGGCAAGCACCTGCTTTTTCCAATGGAGCCATTCTGGACTACGAGATCAAGTACTATGAGAAAGTAGGTCTTATTTGGAGCTTCCTATAACACTACGTATATACGCATATATATGTATATATTAAGCATGTCGTTTTGCAGTATTATCTTAAAGCCTGTTCCTCTTTGGCCTAACCTAACCTCACACCTTCTGTTGCTTTGAATCCTCTCTAGCTTACTATTCTGCTTCTAATTTCATAATGAATTTATTTTGGTTTGTGTCAGATTAAAGTAGAAGATGTAAGATCTTCATTTCTGTCATGACCTACTCTATAGAGTGTTAAATCTTGTAAGAAGTAGTCATTTAGTCATTTCTTCGATTTCTCCAATTTACAGTTCGGTTACTATAAGATTGCTTCTAAAATTCAGTTAAGAAGAAATTTTAATACTGAACTACTATAACCTAAAGTGGAATTTGTAGAACATATCCTTTGCCAGTGAGTTTAAAGTTACAGTCTGCTATAATTTGGAAAGCATTATTTAAGGGATAAATGGAAATACCTTATAAATGAAATACTTTCTTTACATTCAGGTTAACTATTTTATTTTATAAGAAACTAGCAAGATAAACTCAGTTGACAAACCCTTATTTATGATAATGGAACCCTTATTTCAATTTTTGCTATATAAAATTTTTCTCAATTTGTATATTTTCCCAATTTATATGCTTTATTCCCTTTATTATATTCATATTCTTCAGGCTTTTTTCTCTCATTTCTCACCATTATGATAGTCTTGGCATCAGTATTACAGCAGACCACAGAGTCAATTCTGATATGTCTCATTGTGTTAATACTACTTCTAGAAATTTGCAAAGGGAATGTTAAATAAAAATTTTCATGTAAAATTATATGTAATAACCAGTGGTAGGTTACAATGAGAAAGAACATCTTGCATTTCTGTACCTTATTGGAAGCAAAGGAGATTATAAAGGAATTTCGTCTTCCTCTGAAGAAAGAGAGGGCAAGAGTGGAAACAGAACCTCCGTTTTTAGTCTGTTTTGTGCTGCTGTAACAGAATACCACAGACTAAGTAATTTATAATAAACAGAAATTTATTGGCTTATGGTTCTGAAGACTAAGAAGACCAAGATCAAGGGTCCAGCCTCTGGAGGGAAATTCTTGGTTAGTCATCCCATTGTGGGAGGACAAGGCCAGGGTGAGAGAGAAATAAAAGGAGGCCAAACTCATCCTTTTATAGGGAGCATACTTCTGCAATATGAAACCCACTCCCATGGTGACACCAACGTCACAGATGAAGCCATAGCCTTCATGGCCTAACCACCTTTAAAGGTTCTATCTCTGGCTACTGTTATAACGGTAATCAACTTTCAACATAAGCTTGGAGGGGACATTCAAACCAGAGTAAATCTAGTTTTGATCATGGGAGAGGTAACTTAGTAGCATAGCCGTATGCATTTTGTCGCTCTAATAATTGCAGCATTATGTAGTCAATCAAAACTGTCATTATCTTTAAGTGACATAGGTAAATCCATAGCCTAAAAAAAGGAAAACTTTACTGAATTTAAATTGGAATACAGATTCTGCAAATTAGCCTGGCCAAGATGTGCTCAGAAATCTGCTGGGTTAGCCTTTCAAATGTTATAGCCTATAGCATGCTACCACAAGAAAATACATATTTTATGTTCACTGGTTTAAAAATATTTTCATACACTCAAAATTTCTGCCTATTTAACAAGCAACGTGAACATATATACAAGCAACTTGGTAGAATCCAAATATTTCTCCGTGTTTTATAAGGATTATATTTTACACACAGAAAATCACTGTCCAATTTTATAATCATTTATACCTTATATGTTTCAGGATGAAAATAATTTGCAATATTTTAATGTTAGGATAAATCATACAGATTCAATAGAAAGAGAACCACATTCACCAATCAAAATTTTAGAAATCAATATAATTCTAAAAGATAGTAATTAACATAACATTTATGTTCATTCTTGTATGTATAATATTTGGCTTTATTACATAGGTTTTATTTTAACGATGGATTAGATGATATTATGAAAAAGTTTATTTTGTAAGAAGATAGCAATAACCCACTACTAATGGATTAGACATGGAGCTGGAAGGCAAGGATTTCTAATTCATGTACTGACTCTGCCTTTCATTACGCTTATGGCCAGAAAAAGCCAATTCATCTCCCTATGCCTCAGATTTCACATTAATAAAATGGAAATAAATATATCAACATTTTTGGTGGGTTGTAAAGATTAGGTATAAATATACCTAAAGATGAGTAGCTCTAAGTTACTAGTAAAAATCACTGAAGCATTAAGGAAATATTTAGCAAAAATACAACATAGAATCAGAAAATGATAGCATGGGAATTACATACAAAATAAGCAAACTCGCAGAGGAAGTGGCAAAAGAATGGGGCCAGCGATACTGTGAAGGAAGGTGCCAGTCATCCTCGACAATGAGGGAAGCTCTGGATTCTAAGTTACATCTCAGAGTTCATCTTAGGAAAGCAAAGAATCTGGGCTTCTCTCCTCTGGCGCTCGTCAGTTACTGACTGCAGCACTTGGTGGAAGGACACATATGGTGCGCAGAAAACATTCATAGGCACTTCTGGTTCTCTGCAGCGGCTCCAGTAGCCCCGGTTTAGTCTCTACAGAAGGCTGCAGGTACAAGCCCTTCAACACAAAACACTCAGAAACTGGCAAATGGAAACAGAAAAGGTAACAGGGATCCAAGCTGATTTTCTGGAGCACTAACTGTTAGCGAAGGTAGCTAAATTCTTGAAGAACTATCGGAGAATTAATGCTTGGCTCATTGTAATATTTGTATACTCTTCAGTCTTTAATATTGGTGCCATGTTAAAAATTGCATTTCATTTTCATCGGTTATTGTATATTGCTATACATATAATTGATCCACAAAAGATCAATATTTATACCATTCTTTGAGGAATTGATACTGTTTTATTATTTCAAATGCATTTTTCTGTAAATCAGGAAGGAAGTTAACCTGCTTGGAATGTGAAGTGTCTACAAATATCTGAGATTAAACAACATACTATTGTGACCAGTGATCTTTGCTCAGAGAGAGTTATATGTTAGTAAAAAAGCTCTGGTCTGAGTATTCAAATATTTGAGTTAGGCTCAGATATTAACTTTTTTACTTCTGTTTTCTCATCTGTAAAAGAAGCACCTGGAAAGATCCAGCTCTAGGTTGTCTTTTACAGTTCTAGCTATTGTCACAGGCTAATGTTTGTGTCTGTACTGTTAGATAGATAAATTATCTTATTGTTATGCCATCCCTCAGATAACTGGTTTTTCACTGAAATTGAAAACACACTCAAGCACGTGCACGCGCACACAGTTTTCAAAATACCTCACCGTAGAGAGCAGTATTCTTAACATTATAACTATAACGAGGTCAAGAGATCGAGACCATCCTGGTCAACATGGTGAAACCCCGTCTCTACTCAAAATACAAAAATTAGCTGGGCATGGTGGTGCGTGCCTGTAATCCCAGCTACTCAGGAGGCTGAGTCAGGAGAATTGCCTGAACCCAGGAGGCGGAGGTTGCGGTGAGCCGAGATTGCGCCATTGCACTCCAGCCTGGGTAACAAGAGCAAAACTCCGTCTCAAAAAAAAAAAAAAAAAAATTAAAACCCTGGCATTAATCTCTTTTTCTGTCTGTATGAAGTGTCTGAGTGTGTCTGTGGTCTGTGTGTCTGTGTGTTTGGGTATTCAGTGATATGTGAGAAAGAAAACATATTGCTTTATGGGTTATAATTAGCTAGATATTCCTTATTCATTTAATTATATTCCCTAAGTTTTAGCCACTTTTATTTTCAATACTCAGTCTTTCATTTTCCTTTAACTCAATTGAATACAGCTTGACTATGAAAGGGCACTTTAAAATAGTATGGGGACTCAAGATAAGTTACATAACTTGTTTCCGTTTTTATTTATATTTAATTAACATAATAATGCTTTTGTCCAATAGGCTGTCAAGTAGAGCTCATTTTTATAATGAGGGAGCCAAGACATCCTCTGCTCCCAGCTTCTCAGTCTTCCCCTTCAAAACAGTGCAAAACGTCTTCTAGTCATACTGAATAGCCATCATAGCCTTTGTCTTGGTTTGCTTTGTGACACTGTAACATAATATCTTAGACTGGGTAATTTATAAGAAACAGAAATTTATGTCTCACAGTTCTAGAGGCTGGGAGGATCAAGGTGTCAGTGGGTTTGGTGTCCATGAGCGCCCCTCTTCACTTCCAGTATGGCTCCTTGAATGTCATATCCTCCGCAGGGAGAAATGCTCTTCCTCACCCAACAGAAGAGCAGAAAAGCAGAGAGGGGAAGGGGAAGGCCATACTTGCCTTTTCATAAAGCACCAATCCCACCCAAGAGGGCAAAGCCTTTATGGCTTAATGATCTCTTAATGGTCCCACGTATTAATTCTGTTACCATGGCAGTTAAGTTTCAAAATGAGTTTTGGGGGGGACATTCAAAGCACAGCACCCTTTTATCTCTGTTCTTCCCTTCTGTCTTTACCCATTTTGTTCACATTCTTGATTTTTTCCTCCTCTGCCCTCTTTCACCTTCTCCTCCCTGCTTTCCCTCTTTCCTGTTTTTCTCTACCCAAGCAAGGCACAAGTCTTTCTCTTGCTTCTTTGTTATTTCATTATTCCCTTAATCTGTTTGGGCTACTATGATCAAAGCTAATATACTATGTGGCTTATAAACAATAGAAATTTATTTACCACAGTTTTGGAAACTGGAAAGTTCAAGACCAAGGTTCCCAAAGCTTTGGCATCTGGTGAGGGCCTTTTCAGGTTGGTTCATGGACAGTGGTTTCCTCACCATGTATTCACATGGCAGAAGGGTAAGGGAGTTCTCACGGGTCTCTTTTTGTCAGGGCAGTAATCCCATTCATAAGTGCTGCACCTCCCATCACCTAGTATCTACCAAAGACCTCACCTCCTATACCATTACCTTGGAGGATATTATTTCAACATGTAAATTTTGGAAGGACATAAACATT